TAAATTACATTTGATTGATTCATCTTAGAAACATACATTGAGTACCTATGTGTGCCAAGCAAAGTGCTAGGCACGGAGATCCAAAGACGGACAAGAAAAGCACAGTCAGTCTTTAAGGACCTCTGTGTATAGTTGGGGAGAGAGACACGTAGACAGGCAATTATAACACGCTGATAAGCTCTCTGACAGAAGTCTCTACAAAATGCTGTGGGAGCCCCGAAGACGGAGTTACAAATTGCCGAGGGGTACTGGGGACAGTGTGACAAAGGATGAGCCTCGTGAATGACTGGGAGTGTGTCAGATGGGGAAGGTGGGGCACTGTACTCTGGGCAGGGGCAGCTCTCAAGTGTGGAGGAATGACAAGCAGTGTTGTATAAGCAGGCAGAAGCTGTGAGTGGGGGCAGAGGGAGTAAAGAGGCACCCTGGAAAGGCGGATTGGGGGCTGGCAGTATCAGAGCTCCTCCTGTGTGAAGGTCAGATATCAGGTTCAGGGTGCCTCCTGGTAAGACAAGGGCAGGGGGAAACTGTGCACCTTCCACAGGGGCTGCAGCAAAATTTAGCGTCCCCGAATAACTCAGCCACTCCTTACATAAGCTCCTGATCTTCTCTTCTTTGAAAATTTTACAGCTGGCTCTGAGCTTGGATTTCTCTCCTGACTACCTTTCCCAGTTGGCTGCCACAGATGTGGGGACTTACCAATGGGTTTTATTATTGACTTTGCTTTATAGCATCCCTGTTTCTGCTTAGGTGAGCCCAGCCTTGCTTGCTTGCTTGCTTGCTTCCTTTCTTTCTTTCATTCTCTCTTCCCTCCTTCCTTCCTTCCCTCCTTCTTTCCTTCCCTCCTCCCTCACTTTCTTTCTTCTGATCTACTCATGTCCTCTCTTGTATCCTTTACAGTCAAGGCCATGTTTTCACTTGCCCAGCTAAGCAGGCACCAGCTATGACAGGTGCTGGCTGCTATTCTGGAAACAGAAAATCAGATAGGACTGGCAAAGACCTCTCTTGATAGGACCTATTGATATCTACTCATCAAAGGAAACAGGATGTGGTTTATTTAACTTCATCAGGGGCCGTGCTATTCTAGGATGAAGATAGGTGAGAGGAGGTGAGGGGATAATAGCAAGTACATCTGAAGGGCAAGGTCTGTGACGTTACCACTGACAAACAGCGGAGGAGAGGTGGAGATTCTAGAGCAAGAGAGCTTTTGAAACATACTAGATAGGAATGATATTGGGAGATTAAGTGGAACCACTGCAAGTAGCATGAAAAAGCATACAATAGGAAAATAATAGGTTTGATGATGCTTAATTTTTTCTTAGTCACCACTTCCCCTCCTTCCATCCCCTCGGTCATATCAAAAGTATCAAGAGCAGGTATACAGAATGTACGAAGAGAGTGGGCAGAAGGATGATCTTACTTTCTCTATTTCCGGACCCCGAAGTGTGGTAAGATTTTTAAACCAGCAGTTTGCTCTCCGAGACGGAAAGCAACTGTGGGGTGAAATTGCATCAGTAGGGGGATGGGGGCTAGACTTGAGGAAATGGGTTACAAGGTACTAAAATAACAGAGGGAGGGCATTAGATTTCCCTCTGTGGAGATCTGTTAGAAGAGGAGAGAAGCCATCTGGCTGGAACAGTGTAAATATAGTCATGCTTATGCCCAGGGGATGGACTTATTTTTTTTCCTTTTAAACAATTTTAACTAAATTTTATGTGAAAACACTATCAATACTTATTTTCATATAGTTGCAACCAGAGAGTAATTCGTATTCTGCTTTATCTTATTATTATTCTTACTTAACATTCTAGCATCAGCATTTTTCACAATTCTACCTGGTCTTCACAGTTATTTTAATAGCTGCATAATATCCTAATATATTGTTGAATTGTTAATTTAACGATATATCTGGGATTAGCTCTGTATATCCCTGTCTGGCTTAATATTTTAGTATTTTATAGTCTGCTTTAATCCTCTGTTCTATCTAAATTAGTCTACTTTTCCTTTCTCAAATAGTCTTACACTTCCCCCCACAGCCATCAGTGGAATGCCCACTACACTTCATTTCTGCTGACCTTCTGGGAGGAAATGTGGTGTGGTGGTAAAGGCTTTGGTGTCAGGACAGAAATAAAATTTCCTGTTTTTGTCACTTACTAGTTTTGGGATCCTGTGACTTGGCAAATTATCTAATTTTGTGAGCCTTGATTTCTTCATCTGGAAAATGTTATAGGTATAACGTATATAGTTACACGTTCTGTGTATTTATATATATCTTGAAAGGTTGTGTAAGGATCAAACACAGTGTTTGTACAATGTTTGCTACAGAGTACATACCTGGAGACTCTGAGGACTCAGGACCCTGTGGCAAAATCTTTCTTTGAACTTATTGCCTACTCCATACAGCACTTACTACATCCTGCCTTGTATTCTAAGTTACCTTTTTATGTGAATGAGTTGAATCTTCTTACGTTCGATTGAAAGCACACTGAGGGCGGGAATCTTATTTTATTCACCCCTGAATCCCCCAGTGGTGCAGAGGGCTTTATACAATTCAAGCTTGTTGGTTGATTGGGTGGATCTTTGCTAAATATCTGATGTCAAGGCCCATGGTGTAGCCTTACTATATGATGAATGTGGGGCAGAGGGTGTCAGGGGCAGACGTAGTAGAGGAGACAGAGCTGTCAGGCAGTGCCTGTCTGAGTTCCTGAACTCTTGGCCCTCCTGCCAGTAGCTAACAGATTCCAAAATGGCGGCCGCATGGGTCTGCAGCTCCACCTGTAGGAAAGGCAGTTCATGGAGGAAGCAACTGGCAGCTCTATGATGCAACTACCTGTTATCAGAAGCAGCGTGGGCACCCAGCATGAATAGCCAGTGTGTATTTCACACTGTGACAATTTTAGAGACCAGGTGCACCAAAGATGCACAGACAGATGAGAAAAGGAGAAGAGAGGGAAGGAGGGAACCCATCCCAAGCAGACTCGATTTCTCCACTCCTCACAAAGCATTTGCCTTTTACAAGCACACAGATAAATCCCAGCAGAACGGGGAGTGCCAAGAGAGGGAAGCTGGCATTTGAAAAGCTTGCAGTATCAGCTAATTGGTCTCAAACCTAAATCATAAAAAGACCTGTAATTATGCTGTTCAGAATTAACACAGAAGGCTATTGGGTGTGTGGTGGTGGAGAGAAGGAGGGGAGACGATAGGGGGAAGAGTCCGTTTTTTAAGTGAATTTATACTATTATAGGACCTGTCGCGGGTGAGTAATAAAAATGGCGATGCTAAGTTAAGCCTTGTGTTATCCTGTTTGCTCAGATGCTGCTTATGCCGCTGTAGCCAGCAGAAAGCACTTTTCAATTTATTTTTATGACTCTTCTCTAAAAGCATTCCATTAAAGGAATATTACCCTGTATGAAGTTTTGAGGCACCAATGGCAGTTTATTTGCTTGTTGTGCTGGCAAGGAATAAACAGTTATCTGTGGTACCCATTATTTTAGTTTTGTCTTTCTCACACTCCAGTTAAGGGTCAACTGTGGATTCTGCTGTCTACTCTTACATTGTGTACCCCTCCGCCATTGTGTTTGGCTGAATCTTGGCCACATTTCAGTCCAGTCTGATTATCAGAACCACTGAGTGTCAAGTTCGAAGCTTACTTGCTTAATTTCCGCCATCCCATTGGGGAGAAGAAGCTTCTGCAGCCATATTTCGTATTTGGAGCTATGAGCTGAGTAAGGCAAGGAGATATCCCCCAAGGTAGAGTTTTTCCAGCTCTCATAGCTCCAAACTTGATTATTGCACTCCCTTGGCAACATATTCCACAGTAGCTGTGATGTACAAATATGGGGACTGTCCTTTTCTCTTTCACAAATAAAATGGATCTAGAGGAAAACACAGCCCTGTGGTTAAGGGTACAGGTTTTTGAGTTAGATGGCTAAGGCTTGAAATCTAGTCCTGCCACATAGTATCTGTTATCTTAGGCAAGTTACCTAATCTCTCTGCTAACTCTTAGTTTCCTAATCTATCAAATGGAGACATAACAGTTCTCATCTGATACAGTGTTTGTGAGGGTTACAAGAGATAATAGGTACAAAGTGCTTAAAGCAGTGACTTTCCCACAGTAAATGCTATCTATATAAATATTAGTCATCTTATTTCTGATATCCTAGCTGAGATCTCAATGAATCTAAGGAGAGACTGGCTTTCTGGCTCTGATTTCACTACTAACTTGCCATATCACCTTAAACTCATCACTTACCTTCTCTGGGATAATAATTCAAGCTCTTTTCTCATTCACGGAGGGATATGAAGACTAGCAAAAAGCAAAAGTCATGATATGTGAGTGGCCTTATGACTATTTATGATGTTTTTATAGCCCAGATGAATATGGTGCTAACTCATGGTGTCACCATGGTCCTTAATGTCTACACATTTTTGAAGATCTATTGTTAGGACATGAATTTCCTGGTATTGTGGATTTTTATTAAGTATCGGAATCTTAGAGTTGGAAGAGATCTGAGACACCATGGACTTTTTATTTTTAGGGAGGAATTCCTTCTACAATAACTGCGATTTGTGGCTGGTCACACCCTTTGCTATCATCGGTCTAGTGGTGGTGGGTTCACTCTCTTGCAAGCTCATCTTTCCTCCTTCTAAATGACCGAAAGCTCTTCTTTATAGTAATCTGAAATTTTCCTTGCTGTAACTTCCATACAACGGTGTTGGTTCTGCCCCATGAAACTTCCTAGACCAAATCTAATTTCTTCCCGCATGACGGCTCCTCAGATATTTTCAGACAGTGGTTCTTCATCTGTGTTTTCTGTTCCTGGTCAAGTTCCCCCAAACGTTTTTTACATGCCACGATGTCCAGACCCTGTGTCATTCTGACTGCTTCCACTGTATGGAGTGTACCCTTACCGGCAGCACCCTTCATAATCTAAAAAGGACCACAGGATTCTGATTACTGCTGAGACTCCTTGATTGTGATGTCATTCTTCAATCAAGGTGACCAAAGATGGTTCTCACCTTTTTGATTGCTACGCAACCTGGGTCAAGTGGCTTATGTTTGGAGACCACGTCCCCCCTTCAATTCAGTTGGAAGAATAAAACTTGTCCAGTGAGGCCCTCATAAGGTCTGTGCGAGCCTCCAAGGTGAACAGGTACACGAAGGGGCTTGAAATAGCACCAAGAGGAATGTTAGGGGCTTAATTTTACTGCTGTTGAGCTTATGTAGTCTGCTACGATTCTTGTTCTTTTTCCCCATAAGTATTGCCATTAACCCACTTATTACTCCATATTTATAACTGCAGAGTTTCATTTTGTTCACTTTTCCTGTCATTCTGGTTTGCAGAAATATTTCAGAATCTTGGTTTTGCTAACCAGTCTACTGGCCAACACACACCCTCCTTAGTGTTACTTGCAAATTCAAGAAGCTTGACTTTACCTAAAAGATGGATACAGATATTGACAATTTCCCTTCATAAGAACTCCTCAGTTAGCCCCTCCCTACCCACAACAGACACAGCTAAAACAACTGTAGCAACTGCCTCTTTCTTTTCTCTCTCCTAGTACTAAATATATTCCTCTCATGGAAACAATTTCTCTTTTGTTTTAAAGATATTTGGGTAAATACCTTATCTTCTCCTGTAAACAATACACTCCTTGAAGACTGAGAATGTGTTGCATTTAAAGTTGTAGCCCCAGAAGCAATGATCCCGCCTTGCACCCGGTAGGCAATCACTTATTAGGCAAGAATACAGGACCCAGGGCAGAGGTTTTGATAGCCCCCAAGGAAGGCTCCCAACTAACTACACCATCATTAAGCTCTTTATGTAGTTTATTTGGTTGATACCCAAGGATGTTATAATGATTATTGTCTTCTATTAAGTCCAAAATCATGATGGGTCCGAGATGTTACTCTACTTGCAAGCTTACAAGTTAACCTGTCATGTAGGGGTGTGTGTGAGTATATATATCATTTGTGTATGGATGTATAAACACACATACACACTAACAGTGTCTATATCCGCACACTAACAGAAACACCAGACCTCTGTATTAGAGAATATATCATTTATTACTCATAGAGCATCTTAGCACTGGTTCCCTGTGTCTCAAGCAACCACAAGATGATGTGATAAGGGCCTAATGTTACCTGTACATGCAGGAGGGTTTGTACCTGTGATATTGTGAATTATAATAAGAAATAGATAGTTGGTCTTTGTCCTCATTTCTGGCACAGAGCTCCTAAAACCCTTGGAATTTCCTAAGTGGTGAGAGCTTTAAAGGTGTCACTTGTTATGTTAATGAGGTGACTTTTAGAACTCACCTAACAATGGGGGCTTGTTGCCAGGAGAACCAATTGTGTGATTGGAGGGTTGGAAATTTCAGTCCCAGGGAGGGAAGGGGGCTGGAGATGGAATCAATCCCCAATGGCCAGTGGTTTTCAATCATGCCTATGTAATGAAGCCTCCATAAAAACTCAAAAAGGTGGGGTTCAGAAAATTTTCAGGTTGGTGAACACATGGAAATTTGGGGAAAGTGGTGTACCCAGAGAGCTTCCACGCCCATTCTCCATACTTTGCTCTGTGCATCTCTTCCATTTGGATGTTGCTGAGTTATATTCTTTCATAATAAACCAGTAATCTAGTAAGTCAAATGTTTCTCTCAGTTCTGTGAGATGCTCTGGGAAATTAATCCAACTTGAGGATGGGGTTGTTAGAAGCTCCAATCTATAGCCAGTTGGTTAGAAACCCAGGTGACAATCTGGACTTGTGATTGGTGTCTAAAGTGGGAAGAGGGCAGGCTTAGAGGACTAAGCCCTTAACCTGTTGGATCTGATGCTATCTCCAGGTAGATAGTGTCAGAATTGAGTTGAATTGTAGGACATCCAGCTGCTCTCACAGATAATTGGTTGGTGGGGGGAAACCACTCTTTCTTGGTGGAATTGGCTGCAGAACCGTTAGCACCACGGAAGATGGGCCCCAAAATGATGAGACTTGGAGCTTATACAGGATATCTGGCACATCGTCACCCATGCTAACCTTCAGAGAGAGAGAGGGAGAGAAGGTGAGCGAGAGAGATCATCTCTGAGGAGAGAGGAAACTCTCTACTTCACTACACTTATAATGTAAGAAAATAGCAAAACAGCTCTGGGACACATGAGTCTCTAAATCTCTCTGGAGTAATATACTATCCTAGCTGATTGTTTACTATTCCATCATCTTTTGAAGGCAAGGTTGTAGTACTTTCGCTCAGCAAGCCTGGACCATGCAGAAAAGTGAAAATAGTCATGGAGAGTTGTCTCCCATTATCTTCTTCCAAGAAGCTACCTTCAGCAGCCATATACTTACTCTAAAAATGTTATCGATGCTCGGAATCTTTTGTGTTCCTGGTTGGGGCTGACCTTCGGACCGGCAGTTACATCGTTCTTGCTTTGGTAAAGGTAAGTTCTTTTGCTTGGAGGGAATCACCAGTAGTAATTTTTGAAGTCATCAAAATAATAATTATGAGTCAGCTGGATAAATAAAACAGTAGATCAGGTTGAGTAATCTAAAAATATAAGTCAAAAATAAACTAACAACGTGTCAAAAATTATGATTGACCATAAACTATGACAACTTTTCTTCTGGGGTTTATAAATTGGCTGTGAATGTTACAAAAAAAAAAAAAAGGGAATTGCAGGAGTAATGACAAATCGACAACTCTGTGGTGATTTCTTTGAAGTCTAGTACTGGGATTGTACAAATTCTGGTGTGCATTTCCGAGAAAAGAACGTAAGTGATATTACTGCTGTATAGTACTACCTTACAACATTCCCAACGTCTGCCCATATTGTGTTTGCTAGGTGCTGTGGAAGAAGCAAAGGAAACAGCATCACTGGGTCTGCAGGTATATTACAGTCTAACTGGGAATATTACAGTCTAATAGAGAAGATGAAAATAAATCCAGGCACAAAATAGAATTATGTAATATAGAATGCACAGGTTTGGAGAGGTTCAGTGTGAACAAATTATCAGGGCTGTTTGTATATTTAATAGGGAAAAATGCATAATCGGGGGTTGGAAAGTGGCAGGGTGCCAAAGAAAGCTGAGTGAGGCACCTTTCCCATTTGCCAAGAGAATGGAGGAGGCCTTCCCTTTTACTGTGGGCATTAATTTTCCCGAAGTCTCAAGCTGGGTTAGCATTCCTAATTTGCTCCGGATCTTCCTTTCCACACTGCAGAGCCAGCTATGGCCAAGAGAGGTGAGACAGGGAAATTTGGTGTGAGATTAAATGAAGGTGAAAATAAGCAGGGCTGGGGCTGGTGAGAGGTCATAGCAGTACAGAGCGAACCATGAGAAAAAGCAAACAGGAAGAAAGATGTAATCAGAGAACTGAGAGCCGCTGCACGGCGCTTCTTTGTTCAGATCCAAATGAAAGACTGCTTACAGTAATTGCTGTCCAATAAAAGTTAGGAAAGCATGGCGCAGACTGCTTCTCCTCAGACCTTTCAATTCCTTCAAGCCCTGCTGACTTCTTTTGCCTGTGTCTCAGTCACTGTATTTTCAGCCTTATATTTTTATGTGATTTTTCTTTTTTCCCTAAGCCCTGGCTCCCTTCTTCGATTACCAACTTCAGAAACAAGCTCACACAATTGGAAGAGGAGTCTGGAGATTCATCTCCTCTGGACTGTAAAGATGACAAATCTCTCTCAACTCTTTGGTTAGAAAATACAATTAAGTGGACTGGAGTGGGCTCTCACCAAAGAAAATTGGCTGGATTGAGATGTGAGCATCCTAGAAGCTGAACCAATAAAACTCAATCATTCCCATCCCCTGGGGAATTGGTGCTAGGGGAAAAGTTTGCTTTGATATCTCTGTGCAGTGGACAAAAATGTGTGCAAGTCTCACCCAATCAATAGAAATCTCTAAAATGAAAGATTGAAGCCGTCAGGAAAGGCAAGATCTCTGAGATGAGAAATGTTTATATTTTTTGCGAGATTTGTCTCCACTAAATGCCAACCCCTCCCCGTCAGACCCCATCTAAGTGTTTGCATAGCTTTGGAGCACTGTGTGGTCTTTTCGCTCAAACTAAGAGGGCTTGAGGAACCTTCAGTCTGTATGAGACACTTAAGAGAAAACAACATGTAGCCACATGACTTACAGGATCATATGACAGGGAGGAGCCTGCAGAGCGATGGCATCCATTCCTTGCTTTTTGTCTTAACCTGGAAGATTTGATCCTATCCTGTGTCTAAATGCTTCCAGAAAACAAGACTGCATACTATCCGAAGCACTCAGTGCCAGGATGAAGAACTTTCGCCATGAAGAAAGTTGTCCTTATTTTTAGTCTTGCTGTTTAATTCCTTAATGCCAATTATAGCTGCCTTTTCCTCTGATGTCATGCTGAGACCAAAGCTGGCTATGTACTGTACCGAAGGTGACATTTTTTGAGGGAATGAATTAATGAATTGGCTACCAAACTCTTGAAATCATTTTGTTAATCCCAGTCTCTTTGTTTTAATAAGTTTAGTCATAGCATAGAAATCCACAAATGCACTCTTGTAACTTGTTTTCCTAAGGCTGGCCTCTTTAAGACGATTGGTTGGATAGTCCTTGGGGTGAATACGGCTGGATCTTTCCCACCTCTTCACCACACACACAACACAGAGTGGGAGAAACTGCATCCAACTCCCAACTTTATGCTTGGCCAGCTACATTCTTTTTAACTGTGGTAAAATACTCATAACATAAAATTTACCATTTTAACCAATTTTAAGGGGACGGTTCAGCAGTGCTAAGTATATTCACGTTGTTGTGCAACTCTCAGCACTGTCTCCAGAACTTTTTCATTTTCCCAAGTTGTGTCTCTATACCCATTAAACACTAGCTTCTCGTTCTCTGCTCCCCCGGTCTCTGGCAACCACCATTTTATTTTCTGTCTCTATGAATTTGACTACTCCTGGTGCCTCATATAAGTGGATTCATACAATATATTTATCATCTTGTATCTGGCTTATTTTGTTTAGCATGACGTCTTCAAGGTTCATCCATGTTGTAGCATGTGACAGAATTTCATTCTTTTTAAGGCTGAATAATATTCCATTGTATATTACCACATTTTGGTTATTTTTTCATCTGTTGATGAACATTTGGGTTGTTTCCCCCTTTGGCTATTGTGACTAATGCTGCTATGAAGATTGGTGTACAAATATCTATTTGAGTCCCTGCTTTCAGTTCTTTTGGGTATGTACCCAGAAGTGGAATTCCTGGATCATTGGGTAGTTCTTTTAATTATTTGAGGAGCTGCTCTACATTTTCCACAGTGGCTGTACCATTTTTCATTCCCACTAGCAACACACCAATGTTCCAATTTCTCCACATAATCACCAATACTTGCTATTTTCTGTTGTTTTGATAATGGCCTTACTAATGTAATGGCCAACTAAATACTCTGATTTATGAGAAGTCACAAAATCCTATCACAGGGCCTTCTCCTCTACCTTTTTTTGGTATTTCTTAGAGAAATCATCTTTGCTTGGTTCAGGTTCATAAGAATGCTCCCTTATTTGCCTTTCCAGCCTCACATCCTTACCTAGGCGCCCTGTTAAGGTCAACTCTTAGTGGTGTCTTTGTTGACCTGTGAACTTCTGGCAACAAGATGACCGCAGTGATAACTCCAGTTGATTTTCTTTCTACCTCATTTTCAAACTGTCTTTCGCTATGTCTTTTATGATGTTCCATCACCGTCCCAAAATGCCTAAAACTGACCTCACTATTCTGGCATCGTCACTTAGCACCTCTGTGACTTCAGGTAAATAATTTAACCTAAGCTTCAGTTTCGTTGATTGTAAAAGAGATTAATGATGTCTAAAGTGCAGGATTTTTGTGAAGACTAAGTTAAAAAGGGTCCGTAGAGTGCTATCTCAGAGTGATATCATGACTGACACACAGTGATATTTCAATAAATGGATCCATTATTGTTGTGAACTTTTCTCCTAACTGGATATCTGTCTTTATTTTTCCATTTTTTTTAAATTGGGGATACCAGTTTTCTCTAAGTAATCAAGGTTATACACCTCATGGCACACCTTTTTATTTTACTCTATATCCACTCCAAAGGTTTTCATCAATCATCATTTTTAACATTTCTTGCATTATAACAACCTTTTAATAGATTGTTACTGAGCAAAAATTTGCTGAATTCCCAAGGCATTCCCTCCAGCCTCTTCCTTCCTTAGTTTATCCTGTACTTCACTAATAGATTCATTTTCCTAAAATAGTCTTTTCAACTGATCATTCATATTTTCAAAAACGTTTACTGACCTCTTCTAACCTTTATTGCCTTGAAGTTACACACACATTCTGTCTCTCCAGTCACAGCTGAAGCTTTTATGTGAATTCCCCAATTCTATGAAAGGAGTTATAATTCTCCAGTTGTCTCTTCCACACCTCGCCACACACACCAGGATTTAGTGAACTCTGAATTCTTTTTCTTTCATTTGAGGTAGCCCACCATTCTCTTGGCTTTGTGAAATCCTCCTCTTAAGTGACTATCCTTTCTGCCTTTGCATCATCATATCAAGGACTCCAGGGCTCCAAGCTGAATTTGCTCCTCATGTAAACGCTTACGTTTTGAATACAAGTTATCTTTTGAAACCTAGTTCACCTATGGTTACCTTGTGGACCGCAGGCTCCCAGGTCACTGAAAAGAGTCCCTTGGCCCTGAAGAAGAAGAGGAAGTGGCTTCCATCCCCTATCTGGGCTGCACTCTGTTTCCAAGTGGGTCTTAAAACAATAATGCCTTATTCTCTTCTTATGAAAACTCTGGTTTAATAGCACAGTAGGAGAGAGAAGCGGTGCAGCATCCTGTTAAGAACATTGTCTCTGCAGTCAGATAGATCTGAGTTCTAATCCTGGTTCTACCACTTACCAATTATATGACTCTGGGCAAGTTAATTAAGCTTGTGTTCCTAAGATCCTCTATCAGTAAATTAGGGGCAGGATGCCTACCTCTTAGAATCATTGTCAGAATACAAGAAACAAAAATAAATCCTTGATTGTTTGGAGTAGAAGGTGCTCAAATAAATGGTAGTGTTGTTGTTGTTGACATTATTGTTTCATAGATATTTCTTCCTAGGTCTTTGGTCTTGGTGTGGTTGGGGAGGACAAGAACATCAAAACGATGTGAATGACATGAACCTTGTGATGGCTGAAGTTGCCCTTTCCTTCCAACTTCTCCTCTTTATCCCTGTGCCCAGTTTATGCCTGAGCTCATTCTAGAGAGGGAGCCTCCAACTCAGGCAGGCAGTGTTGTTCTCATGGGGATATTTAGTCTGTCTTACTCTACTATATTTCCAGCCATGCTTAGTTATTCTAAGTCCAAAGCTGGAATACGAGATATGCCATTGCATGGGGAACCTCACTATAGGTATTTTAACATGACTAATAATTTATACTCTAGGTGGGTTGATTGAAGTTTGATTACTTTCACCTTTGGAAAAAAATGAAGAGACTATTGACTGGAAATAAAGCCACTTGACTGAATATATAAAGACTTCATAATTGCTCAAGGCAGCATGCTAGGCCCTGGAGGTTTAGGTATACATCGTACTTCATGTGGAATGTCATCCTATGTAATTCTAGCCAATATTCATTATTTCCTTTGCTCGATTACTGTTAGTACCTCACTGTTTGTTGTGGCTCTTTGGTACTTAATTGTGTGATTTGCTCTATTTGTTTCTTGTTAAATTATTTTTGCATAGAGTCCTCCAAATAATTATAAGCTCAGTGGAGATAGTAAGAGACTCATGTTCCTTTATCCCTGAAGGACCCAGTGCAGTGCTAGACACTTTAGTTTCGTTTATTTAAAATATATTGAGGGTCTGCTATGTGCCATGCTTTATGCTAGAGGCTGGGGATGTGATGGCAAATGATATGGGGAAACTTATGTTTAATAGACACAGACTAAATAATTCTTAAATTTATAATTGAGAGGGGGCGATCAACATATCCTCAGAGTGGGTTTGGGGAGCCAGGGAGCATTCAGGTCCAATCCACATGGGGTCATCTTTAAGCCTGACTTTTGCAAACTCAGCCTGAGCCTACAACTTGACTTCTTTTTATAAATGGGCTTGGAGATTCTCTGGTCTTATTGTATTTGAAAAGCTTTTCTCTCCCAGCTTCGTCATATTTCATCACTCATAAAATATATGTGAAAATCAATGACATTAGATCACTGTGTCTTAAGTCTTAAGAGTTTTCCCTGTCTCCCTAATGATGTAGTGAATCAGAAAATAATTAAAAATCATTTAGGTTGCAACCTCCCTTTCTCTCCCTCCACCCCTCTCCCCCTCTGCTTGCAAGGAACAGTGCGATTTATGTCTCTTCCTCCTCGCTGATTGCTTTAGATAGCTCAGGGACATCTTCTTAGATGGAACTCTGCCAGAATCAGCAGCACACCCAGCCTTGCCTGCATTCTCCATGAGACAGTGCACGGATACACAATGGCCAGCACTTTGAATAAACTTCCACCTGTGGGATCACTGCTTATTTTTCCTAATAGCAAGCAACAACCACGAAAAAACACGGATGACATTTTTATAGCAATTTACCATTTGCAGGATGCTTGCACATCCATTATCTCATTTGATGCTCACAAAAGTCTTATGACACAGATATTACTCTTATCCTGCTAAATATCAGCAAACCATGGCTTAGATAAAGCTGGAGACTTTTCCAAAGTCATTCTTCTTATGAGAGGGAAGAAACAGGACTATAGTCCTGGGGTCATGCGCTTCACCATCTACTCTGCCTTCTCCATGGAGAGGGGAGGGTGGCAGGAGAAATGGAGGTAAGGGAAAGGTAAGGGAGGTGGGATAGGTATTAGTCAAATTTGATAAACCTGTTCCCATTTTTGCACAGTTAGGAGGGTTTTCCTGCATTATCCAGTCTCTTGTTTTACATAAGCCAAGTGACAACATGAGTTAAGATATCTTCATCCAAGTCAAATTGACTTAAGCAATAAGAAATTCACTGGCTCACCTATCTATAGGTAAGCCTAATTTCAGGAATGTCTCCTGGCATCCCAGTGACTCATATTAGGTGACATGCATATTCCTCAACAACAGCTGGCAAGGGCGTGGGAGTCAAACCAACTTTGGACAGCTCAGCCCCATACCTGGAGCTGGAAGTGAGGTCAGCTTCCCTGGAAGCACTTGGCCTGTGTGTTTGGGGTGAAGGTGGATTTCTGTACCAAATGTCCACCAAAGTATCCAACACAGAAGACTCAGTATTGACTGAATCCAGCCACAGGAGCAGAGTTGTTCATCAGTGTAGATCAGTGATTCTCAACCTTGACTGTGCAAAGAAATCACCTGGGGAGATTTAAAAAATATGGATACCTGGGTCCTAGCCCTAGAGATTCTAATTTGATTGGTCTGGGGTGAGCCTGGCATTGGGACTTTTA